TCCTTTGATTGACATTCTGGACCTCCCAGTCAAGTTTGAGCTTCTGTATTATTTTGCCTTTTATCTAATATAAATGAACTCCCTGGTCTCTCAGCTGTCCTTATCATGTCTTTCAGGGCCCATATCTCAAATAACTCACTGCTGGGTATGTGGACCCTGTTGCAATGCACAGCCTTGCTCTGACCTTAGGGTAGGTCTCTGCCTCTACTCGACTCTGTGAATGAGCTTACTCCATGTGGGCCCCAATACCGGCTCCAAAACTCCAGCTTGGACAGAGGGCAATTAGGACTGACGTCACTAGGGACTTGCACTCCTTCCAACTATAATCTTTTTCCTCATACTCGTGAGTAAAATGAAACGATAATAAAATCTCAGAGAGGTGAGGGTGTTCCCACGTGATTAACTGCCCTCTATTTCTCTTCCACTTTCCAATTAAGCTCGAAAGAGTGGTCTAGACTTATACCCCCCCTTCCTGACCTCCCATTTCATTTATTCATTTCCCTTTAATTTCTGTCAGTGTCATACATACACTACTAAAAAAGCAAAATAATGGAGACAGATTTATAATAAAAAGCAACAATCCCTCCTTCCTTCTTACCCACTTTTCAGAGCAACCACTCTAACCCTAACTCTTTTAGATCTTCTAGTGGTTATCTCCTTAACATGAATTAGTATCTTTATGTTGTTGTTTATTGATGAATCAATGTAAAACATTATTTATTAAGTCCTTGCTAGGAAAGAGGAGAATTTAGCCTACTTATACTATACACTACTCATTTCAATTTTGGATAGTTCTTTTAGTTCTGCTTTTCCTTATGAATCAATTTTGAGGTATAATTTATATATAAAAAATAGAACAATTTTGAGTGTCCAGTTAGATGAGTATTGACAAATGGTACACCCACATAACCATCACCACTGTCAAGATACACAACCTTTCCATCACCCCAAAAGTTCCCATATGCCCTTTTACAGTCAAGTTCACCCTAACTCCTAGCCCCAGACAAACACTGATCAGCTTTCTGTGACTACAGATTAATTCTGCCTGTTTCAGAATTTTATATAAATGGAATAATACAATATGTACTCTTATGTACCCAGTTTCTTTCACTCAATGTAAAATTTCTGAGATTCATCCATGTAGTTGAGCTCATCAGTCGCTCATTTCTTTTTATGAATAAGTATTATTCCATTGTGTGGATACAGCACAATTTGTTTATCACATGCTGATGAACATCTGGGTTGTTTCCAGATTTTGGCTATTATGAATAAAGCTGCCTTGACAAGTCCTGTACGAGGCTTTCTGTGTACGTATGTTTTTCCTTCTCTTGGGTAAATATCTAGGCATGGAGTTGCTGGGCTGTACGGTAGTGTATATTTAACTTTTTAAGAAAGTGTCATCTTCCTTTTGGTGTCACCCAAAAATAGGACGGTTGCTGGTAAGTTCTACATATGTGACAAAAATTGCTACATCATGTTTTAGGACGAGTAGGAGGGGTGCCTGCCTCTGCCCTTGGGGCTAGGGGTGGGAGGAGGCTCCAAATGCTAGAAGGGAGGATGGCTATTCTCTGAGGTGGAAGCATATGTATCACAGCAGTGAAAGTCTTCCCGTGTTTTCAGTCTCTTTACAGGTGTCCTCTGGTCTTTCCCTGGAAGTAAAATGCCTGTAGCACTTTCTGCATGGGGACGAAGGAAGGAGGAGAGGCTGTGGAGAGCCAGTTGATAGCATCATTAGGTAGACAGACGTTCAGTAGATCACATCTGGCTCTCCCTTCCTCACTCCTACTCTCCATATCACTGTCTCACTGAGTCTGGAGCCTCTGGGGCTCCCTGTTCCTTGGGCAGTACCCGCTGATAGATTCTGGGCTCTGCTTCCTCTCTCTGACTACCCATCTTCTAGGAATTTGTTGAACTCGCATTTGCTGATGGTCCTTCTGCCATTCTCTTCACTTTGCTGCGTTTGTTACTTTATTGGGGTCTTGGTTGAGAGGAGAAAAATGATTATCTTTGGTCTGTGGTCCTCACCCGGAAATCAGTGGATCTGATTCAGTGCAGCAATCTAGTACTAAATCCTACCACTGAAACTTCCCTCGCCAAGCTCATCAATGACCCTGCTGCGCAATCCAGAGCACATCTTTCTGTCTTTTCCTACCCGATCTCTCTGTAATGTCTGGATAACCTCCCTCCTTCCTGCAATGCTCTTTTGATGTCCACAATACTCTCTCGCCTGGTTTTCTCCTGCCTTTCTGGCCACTTCTTTTGGTCTCATTTCCACACTGCTCGTTCTCTGCCCTTAAATATCAGGGGCTCCCTACGGCGCCACTTTAGATCTTTGTCTTTTCTCACTCTACACACTCTCCCTAGATCTTGTGACCCAGTGTGCTCTTCTAAAACCCAGACTTGCAGTGTTTAAACAGTCCCTCCCGGGAGAAGCCTTCCCTTACCCTGCAAGGCTGAGGCAGGTGCCCTGACAAATGTCCCCATAGCACCCCAGAGACTATTGTGGAACTTCTTACACTGCACCATATTGCCTGCTCATGAATCTGTTTCCTCCTCTAACCTCAAGCTCCCTGAAAGCCCAAGACTGTTTTTCACCACCAGCAACTCACCTGGCATACAGTTTGTGACCAATAAATACTTGCTGGATTCAGTTGAGATCATGGATATTTAAAATGCTTTGTGTTTTACACGTTATTACTGGTAATAACAGTAAAATTTGTACTTTGAAGGAAAAATTTCCCAAGTAAGATAAACCTCAAGCTAATCAGGTAAAATTAAATCATTAATTTGCATATATAAGCTAATAATGCTGTGCAGAAATTAATGATGCACATTTTCATGTGAAAATTATATCCTCTTCATTCTTTGCCACCTCTTTAGAGCCAAAACCAATATAGATTTCTCCCATCAAAGAAGTCTCACACCCATATTCACAGCAGCATTATTCACAATAGACAAAAAGTGGAAGCAACCCAAGCATCCATAAACAAACAACGTGTGGTTTATGTACAATAGAGTATTATTCAACCTTAAAAAGGAAGGAAATTCTGACATATGCTATAACATGATGAGCCTTGAGGACATTAGGCTAAGTGAAATAAGTCAGTCACAAAAGGACAAATACTGCATAATTTCATATATATGAAATAACCTAGAGTAGTCAAATTCATAGAGACAGAAAGTAGAATGGTGTTGCCAGGGCAGGTGAGGAGGCGAGAATGGGGAGTTGGTGTTTGATGGGTACAGAGTTTCAGTTTTGCAGGATGAAGAGAGTTCTGGAATTCTGGGGATGGATGATGGCGATAGTTGCACAACAATGCAAATGTACTTAACGCCACTGAACTGTTTGCTTAAAAGGGTTAAGATGGCAAATTTTATGTTATCTATATTTTACCACAATTAAAAATAAAATAAAAAGTCTCACACACAAAAATACTATATTTTATCAAAATATGTTCCAAACAAAATTCTGACCTATGTCTAAAATTTAAAAAAGTAATCAAACTACGGAGAGAGTAAGAAGGGGTATGTCAAATACAAGAAACACTATGAAGGATAAAAAAATAGAGCTAGAAAATAACATCAGTAATAATAGCTGTCATTTATTGAAGCTTATTAGATGCCAGGCACTGCACTAAATGCTTTACATGGATTGATTCATTCAAAATGACTACAAACAACGGGGAGATTAGAGAGACTGAGTCACGTACCAATAGTCTCACATCTAAAAATGGCAGAAATGGCTCAATCCCAGGTGCTCTGGTCTAAAGCCCACGCTCGGACCCACTATCTCTCTGGATACTTCGGGGTCAAAGGGCTGGTGAGAAGGAAACATCAAAACTTTCCCTAAGCGTTCAAACTTAAGTGTAACAAAAACAAAATCAATGATCTACAGAGTACTTTTTACATGCCTAGCACATATGGAATGAAAGAGACTGAAATCGGATGACTACTGGGGGAGGCAGACACGTATATAAATAACAAGGCAGTACCAGCCGTGAGCTGCCTAAGTAGTAGGTACAGAAGAGAGAACGTCTAACAGTGTCTCACCTGAACCTACACAATTCCTGGCAACACAAGTGCTGAATCAATACTGACTACATGAAATAAAGTCAGTCTATAAAAATGTATTCTGCCTCCGAACTCATTTGAAAACAAAAAGGAGGGGCTGGCCCAGTGGCGCAAGCAATTAAGTGCGCGCACTCCGCTGAGACGGCCCAGGGTTCGCTGGCTCGGATGCCGGGCACACGCCGACGCACTGCTTGGCAAGCCATGCTGTGGTGGCGTCCCATATAAAGTGGAAGAAGATGGGCACGGATGTTAGCCCAGGGCCAGTCTTCCTGAGCAGAAAAAAAAAAAAGAGGAGGATTGGCAGATGTTAGCACAGGGCTGATCTTCCTCACCAAAAAAAAAAAAAAGAAAACAAAAAGGCAAGAGGATGAACTTTGCTCTCCGCCTCTTGAAGAGAAGAAATTTAACAGATTATGGCAATCATTGACATTCAAATCACAACAAAGAGGAAACTGACTTTTTGTTCAGATAATACTTTAAATAACAATGTTATAGGTACCACGTGTTAAAATGTTCCCATATTAAGATTCTAAGAGGCAGATAATGATTGCATGCAATTTAACCTGCCACAGAAAATTCACAATGCAACTTGAATAGCTTCACTTTTCTAAAGAAAGATTGAGAGATTATGAGAACTCAGACCTTGGAGTGATCTACTCTGAAAACCCAGAATCAAGAAGTTTCTCTCCCACTTCCCACTATCCTGTTGTTCTCTCCAGACCTAACATGCATCCCCACATCCTCCCAAGAAAACACTTGCTAATGTGTTAACGCCAAGAACTGGAGAGATGTCTCACTTCCAGAGGCTTAAAATAATTGCTACTTGCTGTGCTTACCTCAAAAATCAAATGGCCATCTTCTATACTAAGATATCAAGTTACTTTTTTTCACTGCACTCTCAAGAAGTTTTATGTGAATATATACTATACCTTGTTCCAATATCAAGCCAGCTGCCATAATCCCTGACCAAGAAGAAAAAATGCTGTAAAATAAAACAAAATATGGCTGCATTAAAAAATGAAAGCTATTGAGAGTCAGCCAAAAAACACTGCTGTTTTAGGATTATGTGTTTTTCAGATTTCTGACCCCTCAGAACCACTATCTGACTGGAATCAATACGAATATGCCCTTTATTGAAATTTTTGCTTGGACCAAAATGAGCAATAGCCTAAAAGCCAGAAATAGCATTACTATTCAATCAAACAAACATAACAGTGACACTTGTGAATAACTAGAAATAAAGAAAACCAACTTTAATAAAAGACACTAACTAATGCCAAAGACCTCTGTGAAAAGAAGCCATATCATCCAATTATCAACAAATACTTACTGACAGCCTACTATGAGCTAATCACTATGTTAGGTCCTAGAGAAAAACTTCTTTTCAGGAGGTGTATAATCTACTGAATGATTCAGTCAAATTGTCAGGCATGTGTGCGCATGATGAGTGTTATCGGAAATTACAGGCAATTACGGGAGCTCTGAGGAAGGGGTACATACCCCGACTGGGGTATAAAGGAAGGTGCCCTAATAAAAAGTCTAAAGATCTAAGTGAAAAGTAAGAGTCAGATGAAAGAGGAGATTGGGGAGATTGAAGGAGAAGTATGTTTCTGACAGAGGAAGCAACCTATATAAATGTTGAGAGTCCAGATAGAGCTTGGCAGGTCCCAGGGGAGGTTGGTGTGGAGAAAACAAGGAGGGAGAAGGAAGAGATGATGCCAGTTAAGTAAGCAGAAGCTAGACCACAAATGGCTTTCTACGTTAAAGCAAGCAATCTGACTCCATAAAATTAATCAGAGAACTTAAATTCTCTTCTATTAACATGTCTTGTCTATTTGACACTTTGTGAGCGAAACTGGAAGCTGATTTGTACTAACATTATGTGTGGTCAATTTCAGAAATATATTGGATATCCAGTTCAATACAACACAAAAATGCTCTCATCTAAATCAAGTGACTACGATTCTGATGTGGGAAGTTACCCTAATTGCTGTCTCTAATCGCTTCTAGCATAGGATGTTGTGTAGTGAAGAATTAACCTTACCCAAGAGCTCTGGCCTTCGCCTTCAGCTGCTGGGAGGTGTCTTCTAGGCCCTTGGACTGTCCTGCCTGATAGGAGCATTTTGCCTGGGAGGCCTTAGCTGCTGGACAGTCTAATGTGATTTATGTTGGGGGCTTTGGGCCGTGTGTTATCAGTTCTACCTCTAGAAGGGCTGGAGATTAAAGGTTAGCCAAGGGAATAATATGTGACTGAACCTCAACAAAAAGTCTGGATACCAAGGCTCTGGTGAGCCTGGCTGGCAGTACTCTGTGTGTATTGTCACACATCAATGCTGGAAGAGTAACACTGCCCCAAGTGCACAGGGAGAGGATGACCAGACCTCAGCATCTGGACCCCTCTTGGACTCTGCCCTCTGTGTCTCTTCCTTTGGCTGAATTTAACCTGTATCCTTCCCCTGTAATCAACCATACCTGTGAATATCAGTCTTCAGTGAGTTCTATGAGGCCATCTAATGAATTATCAAACCTGAGGGTAGTTTTAGGAACCCCCTGAACTTGCAGGTATAAAATGGGTTCTTTTTGTTAATATGTACACTACACACAAGAGGCCCACCTGCATGCTCCTCACTCAGAACTCATTTATTAGAGCTATCATCCTGGTAACATCTTCCTACTGGAAAAGCTCTATTTCCTCTTTCCTTCCTTCCCTTTCTCCCTCCCTTTTTCCCTTTCTTTCTCAATCTGAAAAAAGGGTTAAAACAATCAACATTGCAAGTGGGAAAATGATGTATTATCTAAATCTAAAGTTAGATTTTTTTGTTAACTTTTTAAGGAAGGCTCATTTCAGGGACAATACACCATAGGTATAAAATGACAGATTCAAATAAATCAAATAAGAAGACTTTTGACACCTTAAGAAGAGCGCTCTTACTACATAATAAGTCACATAAAAAGAAAGTAATTTATATGTATAAATTATGACAGCACTTATAACTCAATATCTAAAGATTTCATGTGCAGAAAAGCATTCTTATTTCTCTTGATTAAATTAACTCAGCACTTAGTTTCTCAATCTTATTTATACTGAATATCCAAGAATGACTTACCAAAGCCATAATGTCTGATATGACGAGAACCATGAGAAAAAGACTGGAAAAAAAAATAAAGAAAAATTACACATAATACAACAGGCACATTTTTAGAGCACATTAACATCAAAATGAGAAGAATCAAATAACCCAATATTCTTTTAATATTTTTGCTTCTGAAAATACTACCTTCGACAAAAGCTCTTTTCACATTACCATGGACTACTGTCCCACAGTGATGAGCTGGACTTCAAAAATGTTATTTAATGCTTTGAATATTTATTTCAATGGTATGAAAGACACATGAATTATGATTTTTTAATTAAACTTTTTATTTTAGATAATTACAGATTCACATGCAATTGTAAGAAATAGTAGAGGGATCCATATACCTTTTGTCCAGTTTCCCCCAATGGTAATATCTTACAAAACTATAGTACAATATCACAACCAGGATATTGACATTGATACTGTCAAGATACAGAATGTTCCCATCATCATAAGGATCCCTCATGATATTCTTCTACAGCCACACCTATCCTCCTCTCACCTGATCCCCTCCCTGCCTAATTCCTAACCCCTGGCAACCACTAAACTGTTCTCCATTTCTATACTTTTGTCATTTTGAGAATTTTGTATAAGTGGAATCATTCATATAACACTCCATAACCTTTTGGGATTGCCTTTTTTCACTCACACAATTCCCTTGACATTCATCTGAGATTCATCTGAGGTACTGAGTGTATCAACAGTTTGTTCCTCTTTATTGCTGAGTAGTACTCCATTGTATGGATATACCACACTTTGCTTAACCATTCAAGCACTGAAGGACATCAAGGTTGTTCTAGTTTGTGGCTATTACATAAGTTTTCATTTCTCTAGGAAAAACACCCAAGAGTACAATTGCTGGATCATATGGCAGTTGCATGTTTAGTTTCACAAGAGACTGTAACACTCTTTTCAGAGCGGTTGTACCACTTTACATTCCAATCGGCAATGTATGGGAGCAATTCTTTGCATCCTCACCAGCATTTGATGATGTCACTATTTTTTATTTTAGCTATTCTGATAGTCATATACTGATACATCGCTGTGGTTTTAATGTCCTTAATGGCTAATGATGCTGAACATCTTTTCACTGGCTTCTTTGCCATCTGTATATCCTCTTCAGATCTTTTGCTCATTTTCCAATTGAATTGTTTGTTTTTGTTTTGTTTTGTTTGTTTGTTTTTGTGAGGAAGATGGGCCCTGAGCTAACACGTGTGCCAATTCTTCCTCTACTTTTTGTATGGAGGACGTTGCCTCAGTGTGGCTTGATGAGCGGTGTGTAGGTCCGTGCCCAGGATCCAAACCTGTGAATTCCAGGCCGCCAAAGCAGAGCATGCGAACTTAACCACTGTGCCACCAGGCCGGCCCCAAATTGTTTGTTTTTTTACTGCTGAATTTTATGAGTTCTTTATATATTCTAGATAGTAGTCCTTTGTCAGATATGTGGTTTGTAAATATTTTCTCCCAGTATGTAGCTTGTCTTTTCATTCTTTTAACATGGTTTTTTGCAGAGCAAAAGCTTTTAATTTTGATGAAGTCCAATTTATCAATTTTTCCTTTTATGGATCATGGATTTGTTGTCAAGTCTAACTCTTTCCCTAGACCAAATCTCAAAGATTTTCTTCATTTTTTTCCTAAAAGTTTAAATCCATGATCCATCTTGAGTTAATTTTTATATAAGGTATGCGATTTTGGTCAAGGTTTATGACTTCCTTTTAAGAAATAATAGTTTTCCTATTTCTATAGGTTTGAAATACAGAAATATAATTCAACATGTATCTCATATATGCAGATATATACCACAAGTCAGACTGGTCATGTCTTACTGAAATATTATCATTCAAAACAAACCTGATTTAACAGATGTACAATAAAGTGTGTTAATCTGATTTAGAGTTTGTAGACAAACTAAAAAGCTTCTGCACAGCAAAGGAAATCATCAACGAAATGAAAAGACAACCTAACAATTAGGAGAAGATATTGGCAAACCATATATCTGATAAGGGGTTAATCTCCAAAATATATAAAGAACTCGTATACATCTCAACAACAAAAAAACTAACAACCCAATTAAAAAAATGGGCAAAAGACCTGAACAGACATTTCTCCAAAGAAGATATACAGATGGCCAACAGGCACATCAAAAGATATTCAACATCATTAACTATCAAAGAAATGCAAATCAAAACTACAATGAGATATCACCTCACGCCCATCAGAATTGCTATAATTAACAAGACAGGAAACAACAATTGTTGGAGAAGATGTAGAGAGAAGGGAGCTCTCATACACTGCTGGTGGGAGTACAAACTGGTGCAGCCTCTATGGAAAACAGTATGGAGATTCCTCAAAAAATTAAGAACACAACTACCATATGAACCAGCTATTCCACTGCTGGGTATTTATCCAAAGAACATGAAAACACCAATGCATACAGATACATGCACCCCTGTGTCCACTGCAGTGTTATTCACAATAGCCAAGACTTGGAAGCAACCTAGATGCCCATAAAAGGACAATCCCATAAAGGGATAAAGAAGATGTGGTGTATATACACAACGGAATACTACTCAGCCATAAGAAACGATGAAATCCAGCCATTTGTGACAACATGGATGGACATTGAGGGTGTTATGCTAAGCGAAATAAGTCAGAGGGAGAAGGTCAAATACCGCATGATCTCACTCATAAGTAGAAGATAAAAACAACAACAAACAAACACATAGAGACAGAGATGGGATTGATGGTTACCAGAGTGGAAGGAGGGAGGGAGGAGGGTGAAAGGGATGATTAGGCACATGTGTGTGCTAATGGATTGTAATTAGTCTTTGGGTGGTAAACATGATGAAATGTATGCAGAAATAGAAGCATAATGATGTACACCTGAAATTTATACAATGTTATAAACCAATGTTACTGCAATAAAAAGAAAAGAAACAAATTGTGGTTAAAAAAAAAGTTTGTAGAGAACACAATGGTTATCCAGTACAACCTTCTACTCAAAGCATGAATTCCCAAAGTAATGAAGGCTTTGTCTAGCACTAGCTTTAGTGGTTCCAGTAACAGAATCCACTCCAGTTTAGACAGCTCCAATTATTACAAAGTGCTTTCTTTCTTTGAATTATAATCAGTGAAACAAAAATTCCACCCTATCAGATCCAGTTCTTCTAGAAAAAAAGAAAACAAATAAACACAATTTAAACGCAACAGACCTTAAAATGTCTCTTTTAAAGTTTTGTTTGATGTTTTCAAATGTTTTTCTGAAGCAAGTTATTTTATTGTATGACACAGATGACATTCTGGAATCCTTCTGAGGTAAGACACTCCTGGTTAAGTTACTTACTGTCTTCTCAGCCTCAGTTTCCTTATCTATAGAATGGGCACAATAATATCTACTTCATTGTATTGTTGGGAAAATTAAGTCACGTAATACAGTGCCTGCATATTGTAGGTGCCTAATATATACTGGTTTCTTTCTCACTCCTTGTAACAAAAGCTTTAGACAAAATTAAAGACAAATGAAAGATATAATCTCTACCATCATAGAGTCCAAAGGGTGTGTATTAGTTTGCTAGGGCTGCCAAAACAAAGTACCACAGACTGGGTGGCTTAAACTACAGGCATTTTTGTCCTCATAGTTCTGGAGGCTAGGTCTAAGATCAAGGTGTTGGCAGAGTTGGTTTCACTCTGAGGCCTCTTTCCTTGGCTTGTAGATGGCCATCTTCTCCCTCTACGTTCACATGGTCTCTCCACTGTGTGTGTCTGTGTCCTAATCTCCTCTTCTTAAAAGTATGCCAGTTATACTGGACTAGGGTCCACTCATATGACCTCATTTTACCTTAATTATCTCTGAAGGCCCTATCTTGAAATACAGTCACATTCAACATATTAATTTTGGGGGGACACAATTCAGCTCACAACAGGGTGTGAAACAGAAAAGTAAGAAACAGTTTTATCACTCTATGAGTTACCTAACTCAGCTAGAAATTTGAGGGTGGGGCAGCTGGATAAGAAAAGTGTATTGGAGAATATGATGTCTGATCTAAGCCTTCATTAACGAGAAGGACAAACTTTTCCAGAGCAAATCTTCATATTCTTGAACCATTCTGTGGAAACTGAGGAAAAGAGAAGTAGGTTGCCCAAGGTCACACAGCTAGCAAGAGAGCAGACTTTCAACATAGCATGTCTGGCCTCAGAGCCTGTGCTCTTAACCATTATGCACTGTCTCCCCAGCGCACTATTCACTCGCAGAAGCCTTCAGCATGCTCATCACTTTCCTTTGAATGTGTCCCTTGTTTATTCACATACTGTTCAAATAGGAGGCATAAATGTAACACACTGTTCAATACTCATGGTGATCAAATCACCATGAAAGTAGGATGGGATTATCACTCTCTTTGTTCTGGATATAATATTTCTATTAAAAGGAGGGTAGTTTTATAACATCATTTTATCTCTACGATGTTTTGAAATTGCGAAGAACCTAGATCCCACTATGAGTTTGCCTCATGAATACTCTTTGATTCCAAAAATAAATACATACTACTGGGTTTTTATCCAAATGATAATGAAGATCACCTCCACCAACCCGCTATGAGCATTCACCTGCAAGGGTCTCTTAACTGATCTCCTTGATTTCGCTCTCGTCCTCCTAAAGTTATTATCCACACAACAGACAAAGGAGCCTTGGAAACCTTCCGATGGCTTCTTGCCACAACGAGGAAAAATTCTGGAGTCTTAACTGTGGTCTAAATAGCCCCATATGGTCTGGCCCCCGCCTATCCCTCCAACCTTATTTCCTACAGCTCTTCTGCGAGCACACTCCGCTTAAGGCTGGTCCTCTTGCTGTTCTTCAAACACACCACGCGCGTGTTCACCTCATGCCCTTTTATGTTCCGCACTATCTCTATCTGCAGTGCTCTTTACTCATATAGTTCATGGTTCACTCTCTGTTCATTCAGGTTACTGCTTAAACGTCTCCTCCGATCGATCTATTTTTCTTCCTGACATTTA